GCCGTGGGCGTACGAGCCCGGCGCCGCTCGGCGTTTGCTGCGCTGCAGCCGGGGAAGATGCTCGGTAGTTTTTAAATTGTGGTTGGAGATGGAGCTGATCTCCCCATCCCTCCCTCGCGGAGATCAAATGGATGGTTTCAGAGCTGGCAGAGGTGCTGGCCAGAGGGTGGGAGTGAAGAGCGAGAGCCGACCTTGGCCTCCAGCCTTCAAAGCTTTTAAGTGCCTAAATCCCATCGATCGCCAGAACCAGGAGCCCAAGGACCACGGGAGCCCTCGGCTTCCTGCGCTCTCAACGTGGGCTTGGCTCTGGCCAAGTGCCCCGAGGTGCAAATTTCTCAGCAAAGTGGCCCAGAGAGTTCCAATGAAACAATTTCTTCTCCTCCTTCATCCTTTTCCATTGAAAAAACCCCAATGATCTCTCTAAAAGGTGCCTTGCTGCCACAAATTCCACCCTGAATTGAGAAAAGCTCCAATGGCTCCCATTGAAGTTAAGCCCTTCCAGCTGAAGTCACAGAATCACATGGGGTTGGAAGGGACCTCTGGAGATCATCTCCTCCAACCCCCTGCCAGAGCAGGTTGCACAGGAACGTGTCCAGGTGGGTTTGAATGTCTCCACAGAAGGAGACTCCACCACCTCCCTGGGCAGCCTCTGCCAGGGCTCTGCCACCCTCACAGGAAAGAAGTTCCTCCTCATGTTTAGGTGGAACTTCTTATGTTCAAGTCTGTGCCCATTTCCTCTTGTCCTGTCCCTGACAGGACACTGAAAAAAGCCTGGCCCCATCCTCCTGACACCCTCCCTTGAAGTATTTATAGGTGTTGATCAGATCCCCCCTCAGCCTTCTGATGTTCCAGGCAAGTCAGCAGCACTAACCCCACAGCCTGATTTCCCCCCCAAAATTTCCTCCCTTTCCCTCTCAAAAGAGACTTTTCCCAGCACAACATGGGCAGTGCAAGGTCCCCCCCACCTTCTCCTGGAGCAGCCGGGCTCTGCCACACACCAGGACCCATCCCCAGCTCCGAAACTGGTCCCAGCCCATGGTGGTGGGGGCCCTTTCGCTCCCCCCGAGCTTTTCCTTGCAGCCCTTTATTTATGCCCTCAGCCCTGGCTGTGAACAGCCGGGATGATATTTTCCCAATGTGTATTATTTATTCATCGTTATTTATAACTTTCCATTACTGTGTTACCGGCTTTGTCGGGAAAGTAATTACCTATGCTTTTTAGTAAAATCAATAAAAAGTTTGAAGGCTGGAGCTCGCACCGAGTGTTTAACTTGGGCTGGGTTTTTGGGGAGGGGGGGGGGCTCTGGTGGGTCCTCGCAGGGGGTGGGAGAGGGGAAAAGTGTCCCAGGGTTTGCTCGGACACCTCTGGAAGTGGTCGGGGGAAGAAGCCCTGGAAGAGCTTGAAGAAATAAAGACTAAGAGGACGCTGCTTGCTCTGGCCTTGAGAGGGACTTAATGCAATATTTCACCAAGCTGTAATTGGGCTCTGGCTAATTAAACCTTCCCTTTGCAGGGGCGAGGAGGACGCCGGCGCAGGGCGGTCTCTCTCCCAGGCAGCGATGCCCCCGGGTACAGGCAGCCCCTCACTGCCCCCTCCAGTGGGGGAATCCCCCCCAGTGTGTGACCCCCCCCAGCCTGAAGGGAGGGTGGGAGCCAACAAGAAAACCAGAAGCCCTTTTTCTTATGACAAACAGGCTGTTTGCAGCCAAACTGCCCCCAACCTGCTCTCAGCTGGCAAACCCAGCAGCGCTGTGCCAGCCCCTGCGGCATCACCCCCTGGGGCAGAGCGGGACCCGCAGCATCGCTGGCACCCAGTTTTGGGCCCCCAGTTTTCGGCTTGTGCCACCCCAGGAGTGTGACCATGGCACATGGAGCCGACTGCGGGGGGATGTAGCTTTTGGTTGACCTTAAGAGTTGCAATAGCAGAGAGTGCCAGCTCCCACCGGCGGCCTAAAGGATGCTCCCCCAGCAAATAAACCCCCTGGAGCCTTTGATTTTAATTCCGAGAGGCGACAGCAGACTTTTAAGAGGCTCTTTGTCATCTCATGGAGCCAGGAAAGGGCCACAACCTTTTTTGGGACAGGAAAAAAAAAAAAAAAAAAAAAAAAAAGAGCGCGTAGGGGGGATTTAATGAAAAGCGTTAGCGAGTCCCGTCACCAAAGGAGCCGCGGAGGGTTGGGGTGGGAGCAGAAGTTTTCACTTACCTTCGCTGGCCGCTGGCCCAGCCTCGTGCAGATGTAGCCCAGCTGAGCGCCCGTCTCTGCTCAGCTTCACGGCACCGGCACCGGGGTTTTTCCCCGCGGTGACACGGGTCGGGGAGGTGGCAGGAGGGAGGGAGGCTCAGGGACCGCTCGCCCCAAGCCCTGCATCCCCGGCAAGTGCATCCCGGCAAGTGCATCCCGCCACAGCCCAACACCCTGCGGGACGGCGGGATGTATCGAGGGGCCAAGGAAAGCAGCTGGGTTTGCCCCTCGCTGTGGCAGAACGGCACAGGCAAATTAATTGCAGGAGACACTGCCCCCCCCCCTCCTCCCCCCAGCCCGTGGAGGCAGCTTTGCCCCATTTCCACTCATCGGTGCGTTAAAACGAGCGGGATGCTTGGCTTATCACCCCTCTTCCCTGCTTACCCGACCTGCGGGTGGGCATCCCGCGCCCCACAGCCTCGGGGGCATCCTGCCCCATCCCCACCTGGCCCCAGCGTGGTTTCTGGCCAGAGAACCCGTCACCATGTGGCTCACACATGTGTTCCTGCACCTCCCTGCCGGAGAACAAACGGCAGCTTTGGCTTGGGTTTCATCTTATTAAACAGCAAGGCTGCCCCTTCCCTGCTTACCCGACCTGCGGGTGGGCATCCCGCGCCCCACAGCCTCGGGGGCATCCTGCCCCATCCCCACCTGGCCCCAGCGTGGTTTCTGGCCAGAGAACCCGTCACCATGTGGCTCACACATGTGTTCCTGCACCTCCCTGCCGGAGAACAAACGGCAGCTTTGGCTTGGGTTTCATCTTATTAAACAGCAAGGCTGCGAACGAGGGACTTTCCTTGAACCCCTTCCCCCCGAGCGGCCGACCTCGTGCACCTCAGGAGGTCCATAATTCGCTTTTCAAGAGGAAATCCAGCTGAGGTGTGCTCAGCCCCAGGTGCTTTGCTGCCCCGAGGGGAAGATGTGACCCAAGCAAAGAACCCAAAGGGCCATGGGGAGCTGGGGGCCTCCAATGGCCATGGTGGTGGCCTGGACTGAGCATCACTACAGGGAACCCCAAAAGCACCTGCAGAGCTTGGAGGGGTGAGGAAACGCCTGGCATTGGTGGGAAACGAGGCCAAATCTACTGTGCAGTGGACAAAGTCAGGGAGAGAAGGCGTCTCTCCTCCGTCCTGGTCACAGGAGCCTTCCCAGGGGCCAGCGACAGCTTGTCTGGGCCCTTTCCAGTTAACTCCCCCGCCTTTTCCAGCGCCACCAGAAAACCCACCGTATTTTTCCAGCGAGCCCCACAAAGAGCGTTTCTGGCGCCGACACACCAAGGCAGGGCCCTTGCCAGGAAGGGGGAAAGGCCGTGACATTTCCAACTTCCATCACCGTGGGGTCCGGGCTGGGCAGGGCGCCAGGCAGAGTCATCCTGGGAGGAGAAGCTGGAAGTGCCAGGGTGGAGGAGATCTGGCCAATATGGGGTTTTGTGTTTGTTTTTTTTACTGCCAGGGCTGGATTGACAAAGAGGAGCAGGGACCTTCGGGCACCACAGCATCAACCTGTCTGCTCCCCACCGGGGACCTCTCCTTGTCACCCAAATGGCTGTGACAGACCTTGGGGTCCGGGTTCCTGGGGGTGTCCCCGGTCCAGGCACCCGTGGGATGTTGTCCCTCAGCCAGAGGGGGTCTGGCCACCCCACCCCAGCCTCTCACGGGGCTGCAATATCATTAACGAACCCATCACAGGGATGGTGACCAGGAGGGCTGGAGCGAGGTGTGCAGGGACAGACAGACGGACGGACGTGGGCATTTGAGGGAGCGGAGAGAGATGGGTGGACAGACAGATGGACAGACGGATGGACAGCAGAGGAGGGTGCACAGAGAGGGATGGATGAGCACGAATTATTCAGGGGCTGGAGATGGAGCACACCCCGAAAAGGGCTTTGTGAGAGAGCGGGGAGGGGGGGACAGAGGGGGGGTGTCTGGGCTTTGTGTGCCGGCAGAGGAGGGTGCTGGCTCGGCCGCTCGCCGTGATGCTCCGGGGGCGGAGAGGAGGAGGAGGAGGAGGAGGGACTTGCAGCCCTTTTCTGGCTGCCGCCGAGGCGGCGGGCGGCAGAGGGAGGGCAGCCCGGCCGCGCACCGGCTCTCGGGGTG